GTGCTAGCAGGCTGACATTATGAACCTGGCAGAATGATACAGTCTGCAGGCTAAAGCACAGGGCTAGCAGGCTGACATTATGAACCTGGCAGAATGATACAGTCTGCAGGCTAAAGCTGGCAGGCAGACCTTGGTTGTCTCTGAATTCAGTGGCTGCATCCTTCTGAGGCTGCATTAAAGGACTGAATGCACAAGGCTGTCCCATTACAAAGGCTCCTTCAAATGTCGTCTAGAAATGCATCCTTCTTTTCCTGCTCCGTGACAGACACACCCGATGGATCCATCTCAGCCTAACATATCCCAAGATTCATTGAATACACAGTGGGTGTATTCTGGGTAGGCAATAGGAGTGGCACTTCATAACTTCAGGTGGGAACAGCTAGTGACACATATAGGAAATTATTTGTAGGCCAGACCGTCCCAGTCTCTACCTTCATAGACCACATTCTATGAAAGATGCAGCCCCTGAAATCAGACACAGCCCTTATGAACCTGGAAGAATGCTACGGCCTGCAGGCTAACGCACAGGCTAAAGTAATAAGCTAGCAGGTATACAGATCTGCCTGAAGGCTACATTTTACAGCATGACGAGTTGGCCTGGCGCTTTATTAACATGCTGTTGCAGCGCACAAGTTTCAACCTGTGCCTGTAGATTTATGTTTCATAGGTACCAGAGACAAATGCACAACAGTGATGCTGTTTCGGTATATAATTCCTTCCTGTGAAATATGGTTTATATTAGTAGGAAAACTCTAAACTTGTCCAACCTTTTTTGTCTTTGAGCAGATGGATGACGTGATCGATGACATCATTAGCCTGCAGTCAAGTTATGATGACATGCAAGCATATGCTGACCCCGTGGTCCAGATGTCCAACACGGTAAGTACAGCGAATGCGCTAGGCGTTGGGGACGCCCAGCCTGGCATGTTTTTTGGATTGTTTTCCTTGTGAAATGGAGAAATCGCTATGGAGACTATGCCGAAAGGACAAAAATGAATCAGGACCTCGGTACGCCTGTAAACATCTCTCCCTCTAACGAGAGCCCCTGGAGCCCGTTTGGGCCCCCGATACGTAGCTGAACTCAGTCTTTGTGAAAGTGGCCGTGGACAAAGGGACGCCCTGTTCTCTTCCATAAAAAGAGTTTGCCAAAATCCATAAGGCTGTTTTCCACCCTGAAGCGTAAGAGTGCGGTTGTTTTGCCGAGACGAGTGCTTGGTCTGCCTTCGGGCCCGTGGCTCTTCTGTGATATGCCCTAATGTTCTTGCTGGTGTACGCGGGGAGGACGTCTCTCTCTTTAAGCGATCACGTTAAGTTATTGACGTGAAGCTGCAAAGAAGATGTAGCACTGCCCCGTACACAAAATTTAAAACCATTCTGTGCCGTGTAAAGCCAAAAAAATCCACTGGCAAAATAATCGCTTTAGAGCTTCGTTTCGGGGAATAATCTCAGTACTTTGCTCCAGGTTATTCAAAGTAACTGCTGTGAATTAACAATTAAGCCACATCCAGTTAGAGTTCAACTTGTTTACAAGACATTTGTTTGAAAGGGGGCTGCAAAAGGGAGGGAAAGAACAGGCTGAAAGTCCAGGCAGGGGAAAGATCACTTTTTTTTTTTGCTGAGGGCCAGTAGAAGAGGGCAGGCTCTAGGAGTCTCGGGGACAGTGTCTTAACGGGTGGGGACACCGGCGTCACGCAGGGAGAGCTGCAAACGTGCCCAGAGTCTAGCCAGGATGAAGGAAGCAGGGAAGACATATGCTATTGTGGAGGTAATCGATGGGGAGAGGATACAGCTGGTAAGAGCATTTTGAAATTGCCAAAGGGGCCACAGCAAGGGGCAGGAGCTGCAGGGTGCAAGGAAAGTCCTTGATTCCCCGTGTGGGCTGCTCTCTCACCCGCTGCCGGCGCGCTAACCTGCACCAGCAGTGAGATTTACCTGGGGGGCTTTTTAGCGCCGTGCTAGGCGGCCGAGAGACGCTGTTGTGATGTTACTCCGCGGTGATCTGTCATCTTCTCCACTTCCTGCTGAGTTTGCTAGTTCTCTCATTGGCACATTCCTGGGAATTTGGTGCAGTGGAATTTAGGGATAGTTTTCCGCAGGCGAGCAGAATCCTTACTGCGTCTCCCGCCTTTTGGTGTTCATTCTTAGATATAGAGCTGTTTTGTTTACGCAACTGGTAGTTACTCCGGTATTGATTGTCTCTCGTTAGCGATTAGCCCATTGATCGAGCTTCAGCAGAGGCAGTGCTCCTGCAAGCCACTCTCAGGCACGCCGAGAATGCAGGTAGCAACCCGTGCAAGGAGTTTTATGTTTTTATAAACTGACATGTGTCTTTATATGGAGGCTTTCTTTCTTTATGCTGAGATTAACTTCATGAATGATATCAGCCTGCGTGTGCAGCAAGAGATTAAAATTGATTTAAATCTTAAAAGGTGTAAATAGCTCTGAGAATCTAAAAGCATTGTTTTTCTTCTCGCGCAGCCTTCAGAAGCGCGCTTCCTTAATCAGGACCTCTCACAGTTCTCAGAATTCTCACATACTTCTGGTACCCTCTTGTGTAGGAAACGAAGGGTTTCTCCATTGCTGTCTGAGGTCTCTCTCCGAATTGCACCTGTAACTCCAACATTCGCATGCTTTTGCCCCCTAGCAGCATGCTTGGCTGCTCCACACCGTGCAGGAAGGCATGAGACACCACCCCCCCCCCCCCACACACACACACACATTACAGCTCGCTGACAGTGCAGGTCGTTAATCTTTACACGCCTCTTGCTCCGTGCTTTTCACCGGCGACAGGTAACACCCTTTCACCTTGCCGATGCACAGGTGACAGCATGAGGGGTCTCACCCCCCCGGACTTGAGTCCGGCAGGCCAGTGAATGTACGCCGTGATCCTGACATTGATTAATACCGTCCCGGTTTGCCTGCCACCTCGGCTCTGAGAGGCCGGGCCCCGATTCAGAAGCCTACATGATACATTATCTGTATCTGAATGGCTACCTATCCGTCAAGGCTCATTAGGAACTTGTATGGCACTGCAGAGTTATACTGAGGCACTGAGATAGAGCACAAGATACGGCAGGAATAAAGCAATAAATGGCGGTGATAAGAGATGACCCGATAGTCAATCATTCCTCCGCGAGCTCATTCTGTTTGACGGTTCGCTTTATCTGCACGTTATCATCTCGGAGAAGCTCTCTACTAATGATACAGATGTAGCACAGCGTGAATCTGCTTACTTTTGAGGGAGATACTTTCACCAAAGCGCTGCATGACGCTGTAGCACGTTGTACATTCTGCTCAGATTTCGCTCATGGTGACGCCGTTGAGCTCCTGCTTCAAGGACACCTTGGTGAGATTCCTCAGAAGAAAACACAGAATGACATTCTTTTAGCATTTAAGTTGTAGAAGGTTCTCATCAGCTGTCTGTGAGCAGCAGCATGGTAAAGATTTAAACTGTTTGCCAAAAGGTTTTGTGAGTTTGATTGGCTGCGTGCGCCTGACCGCATCTCTCTCTCCCCATCTTTCTTTGTCCCTGTCTTTCTGTCCTTGCCACAGCTGCCTCTGTCCAGCAGCCACCTGGACGTGTACACGGGCCCAGGCATGACTGGGCCGGCCATCACCATGACCAGCAACTCCTGCCCCGCCAACCTGGCTATCAAGAGAGAGATGTTTGGTAAGCGAGCCCAGTGTTCCGTCATACATCTGTGGGGTGTGGCACAGAACTGCCTGAATGGGCTAGTAATACACCAGGCTTGGTACAGCTTAGCCAGGGATACTGTTCATGTTTGGGATAAATCATGTTAGATCATCAGTTTGTGTCCCACTGACCCATGTTTGTTAACACTGTGAACAAACTGGTGGCCTGGTCCTTAGCGGCCCGCTTTAGCTCCATCTATCCTGCAGCCAAGGAAGAACAACTCCTCAGAAACTCAGAAAACTAACAAAAGCCGTATTGTAAATCCCCCCCCCCCCCCCCTCCGTCGAAGCAGGGTTTAGTGGCCAGGTGCTGGGCCAGACAGCACTCAAGAAACAGTGTTTGGTGCCTTGCTGGTCTGGCTGTAGTGCGATCTGGGGGTGGGCTTGGTGACCGTATCGATATGCTGCGATGACTGATGCCCCAATGAGACTGAGACCCACTGCAGCTCTCGGGAGTCGGCAGTCTGCACAGGGCGCGCCGGACACGGACTGACGTCTCTTTCCTTTGCGGCAGATGACGAAGCTCGTGCTATGGCCAAGGAGAGACAGAAGAAGGACAACCACAACCTGAGTGAGTCTGCCTTTCCTCATCCGGATGACCTCATCCCGCTTAAAGCCGCCTCCAGCACGCTGGAACGTAGCCAAAGGTTTACGGCCCCCAACATGCTGATAACCTGAGGGACTGTGCCGATAGCGGTGTAACGGGGGCGCGATTGCCTTTGACAGCTGTCAGGTAATCAAGGTGCAGCGTTATTGCCATGTTGGCGCGACACCCCAGCCTCTGCATGTTACACGGTTACCGTGGGCGGAGGGAAGCTGCCAGACGCTGGCTGCTGCACGAGATGCTTATGACTGTGTTTACATGTTCAGCTTCTGGAGAGAAGCGGGCCTTAACATTAACAGCTAGCTTTGGGTCCATTGGGACATCCAAGGAAGCTTGTATCTGGCTTCAGTATAGGGCACAGCCCAGTAGCCCTTGGCTTACATTGCTGTCTCCTCTGCTTTGCAGTCGAAAGAAGACGAAGGTTCAACATCAATGACCGCATCAAAGAGCTGGGAACCATGATCCCCAAGACAAATGACTTGTAAGTTACCCTTTATCCTTAATGTTGGTGCTGTTGGCCCTTCAGTTAAAACCTGAGCAGGTTCTCCTGCGAGAGACGTGGACACATGATATAGTTTGAGCATGGAAACAACACAGGAAGAGTTAAAGTGAACATTATGCAAGTCGGTTGGGAGTGTGGAACCTTTGCTTGACATGTCTTAGGGACATGGCCCCGGTTCATGTCTAACCTGCTGCCGCCCCAGGGATGTGCGCTGGAACAAGGGCACCATCCTGAGAGCGTCGGTGGAGTACATCAAGCGCATGCAGAAGGATATCCAGAGAAGCCGCGAGGTGGAGACCAACTTCAAGCGCATGGAGGTAGCCAACAAGCAGCTGTGGCTGCGCATTCAGGTTCGTGGTGTGTGAGCGAGTGGCCGTATCAAGGTGGTGGGGATTGCACTGTCAGTCAATGAGCAGTGCCCTTTCATTTACACCCAGCTTTGGGTACATTTGTGTCATTTCAGGTCCTTGTTGTCATATAATTTTGATTTTTGGGGTATAATCAAAATGGTTACCATAACATCAAAAAAAAAAAACACAAGCCATGCAGGCACAAATTAAACCACCAGAATCAGCACCGATTAAGAACTGGCACGGTTTTCCTGTGATAGTTTCTGATTGGTAGAGGGGCAATGCTAACAGCCAATGACATTCCTCCTTCTTCATCTATCTCCCAGGAGCTGGAGATGCAGGCCCGGCTCCATGGGATTCCCAGCAACTCGCCTTCAGGCATGGGTGGGGCCGAGCTCCTGGGCTCCTACGTCAAGCAGGAGGGCAGCCCGGAGGAGGCGCTCCACCAGCACCCGCCGCCCCCAGCGCCCCACCAGCTGCCCCCGCTGCCTGGCCACGGCCTGGTCCAGCCGCCCTCGCTGCAGTATCCACCCATGGGTGGTCCCCAGCACTTCGACTTCGCCCCTTCGCTGGACGCATGCGACGGTGGCCTCAACTACCCTCCGCCATGCAGCGGCAGCAAGAAGGGCCAGCTGGGCTTCCTGCTGATGGACGAGCTGTCACCCCTGGGCGTGGGGGACCCGCTGCTGTCCACCCTCTCCCCCGAGACTTCGGTGGACAGCAGTCGGCGGAGCAGCTTCAGCATGGAGGACTCGGACATCCTGTGACACACACACACACACACACACTCTAACACACGCACACAAGAACACTATATGCACTCACACGGAATCTGGTACCGCACACCCACACCCACATGTCATCGACACGCTGTAACCTCTCTCGTATGTGCATTGGCATACAGTAAAAAAAAACACACAATAAACACATCTAGAAAGATTTAAATACAGTCATCCGTCAACTTACATCCTACCGAGTAACATCTGATCATACTTATCTCCCATAAGACGTCCAAAGCATATGTCTGCCTTAGTAGACATACTTTACCACGTGTGCGGCATGCGGCAAGAACCAAAACAATCCAATTGCACTGCCACTATAAAGGTTTAGTTAGATGGTGTGATATTGTGTATTATGTCATACAGTAAGATGGATACCTGTATAACATAAGACCCAGTGCCCCACCCCCAGTCCCAAGAATAGTGACATGTTCCACACACATATGCAGACAGACAACAAATACTGTCCCTGTCTGTCTCTGTCTCTCTTACGCTCTCTCTCCGTCTTCTCGACATGCAGCCGCACACACAAACACACGTAAACACACCAGCTCAGAGCCTTTCATACCCATGCTCACCCTCGTCTTCACTCCAAGTCCTCCAGCCCCTGTCGACACCTTCCAGCTCCCACAGAGCGCGCCAGAAGGCCGCAGGAACTGCAGTCTGCCTAAAATCCCCCAATGCCTATAGCGTGGATTTCAAACAGATGAGCCTTGCAGAGGTCAAGGTCCAGGATGTAGAGGTCAAACGAGAACAACAGAGACGATCATGGCAGCTTTTCTTCATGGTTACGTATGTAGAGCAGGGAGGCCCTGAGACGTCATACCACTTACCGCCACGGACTGTGGCGGGCCAAGAACCACTTTATGTCATTCATTTGGTTAGCACTCCGCGTTTCACTGAAAGTCTGTTAGAAAACACTCAGGTCGGAACCCCCAGGAATGGAGTGCCCTCCAAACAAAAAACACAACAAAAAAAAAAAAACAAATTGCTGGGCAGGTTGTAAGCCACTGCTCAAATGAACTACGATGAGTGTGGAGAACAGAGAGAGGATGGTGTGTCCGTTAGCATGGGCTGTTAGCATTGGCCGTTAGCGTTGGTCGTTAGCACGGGCCTTTAGCATGGGCCGTTAGCATGGATCGTTAACATAGGCAGTTAGCACAGGCCGTTAGCATGGGCCATTACTGTGGGCCATTAGCATGGGCTGTTAGCATGTCCCAGAGATAAGGGTCACGCACGTGGGTGGTTTAGCACGCACATTGGGCTGACTGGCAGCTTGTGCCGATCACTGACTACAACACCGGATCGCCGTTGTGTAGCATTCTTGCTGTGTACCCATGGGTCTTTTTCTGGTTGGATTGTTTGGTCCAGTGGGCACACTGTAAACACATCGTCGAGGAATTGTAAAAAGAAAAAACATAATTGAATAATAATTAAATGTGTTTGTTCTGCTTTGAAATAGATTGTCATTTTATTTTTCTCCCAAAGCACTGGAAAACTATATTATATTATTGACTTTATACAAGAAGGATTTTATGAAGTGACAGTTTTATTGAAATGTTTTACACTGTCAAACCACTTATGTGTATTTTGTTTCTATTTGTGGTTTTTATTTTATTCTAAAGTGACCTTTTTTATCTGACTATAGAACCATTTAAATATGAAGATATTTAATGCGTTAGACTATAGTATATGGAATGTGGAGAGCCATATTACATGTAAAATATAAATTTCTGTTTCCAAAGGAATGTTTAATCTTATTTGGCAAAATTCAAAAATTGTAAGATGTCATTTTTATATTGATTTGTTTTCTAAGTCACATAGTTATTTAATGAAGAGAAAGGGGTTTTCGTGGTGATTTTATTGATTTATGTTACCTGTGTTTCGCGAATGTGAATTTTATCTACTGTACAGTGAGGTCATTCTTCTTCATGGTGCCAGTATGTGCTCAGTGCCTTCTTATTAAAAAATGAATGCTTTTCTTTCATAAGCCACCAGCTGTATAGATGAAAATTTGTTAATGTACCACTCTGTTTTTTATGCATGGGCCATTTCATCGATCTGTGTTTTTTCCGTTTCTTTTCAAAAATGAACAGGAAAGTGTACAGCCCCGCACTCCCAAATTCCCCATGTTCCAGATGCAAATCTTTGACTTGGTTTTTAAAAAGGAGAGAGGCTACGTCATTAGCCGGACGCGTCTGTTGGTTTTGCGCTGCTTGCGCGACGGACGTCCCAGGAATGAGAAGGTTTGCGTAATGAATGCTGTCCATCCTAATCCTAATGTCGCTCCTGTCCATTTTCCGGCGCTGTTATTTTCCCGGGAAGTTGAGAACCTGTGATTGAGGTTTGTTTGGATATAAAAATTCTCCGAAAAATTGCACTGGAAGTCCCCGGTTTCTTTATTCTTTGAAGATGCGGGGGTTCGCTTTCCTACTTTGAGTGAGCATGCGAGTCAGTGAAAATATGGAAGAGTAGTAACATGCTGTGAAATACCTTCGAATATATGAATACAAAACGCTACCAAGCCAACACGTAAGATAATGGCGTAGCAGGTGTACGGGGATGTCAGGCGTTCTTGGTGCTGCATGCACCATTCTTTGCATCTATTGCTTGAAGGGATAGTGCTCTGAATCGTGGCCCACAAGCGCAGCTATCGAAAAGTCTACTTCAGGACAACGCAGAGAAAGGAGGCGCATCAGTTCACACAGGTGTCCATAAGGGGGCAGTCTTGATCAAAATGCTGATGGAGACCACATATTCACACAGCCAGACTTAAAGGCAGGTTTAAAGCCAAGCTGCACTAAAGAATGTGCCTCTGACCTCAGCCATCGCGAGAACAATATATTAATTTTAATTAATTATTTTAATTTAAATACGAGTAGTGAAGAAACAGATGGTTGTTTTGAGTCCTTGGAAGAACACATCTCTACAATAAAATATTCTGGCTAAAATCATGCTGTTAGTTGTGAGTTAAAAAACTCCCCACTAGATAAAATTCAGATTATACTATTTGTGTTGTATTAATTGTTATATATAATAACTTAATTATGTATTAGTCACGGATTTCTTACTTTAGTTATACAATGAACATTTTCATTACAGCTAGTTGGTATAAAACATTAACACGAGTATAACTAATTATAAGAAGTTTAAAAGTAAATTGTTCAATGTACGGAACATGGGGGTTATCCGTGGATTTAAATGAGCAAACGTTACAAAGGGTCTCATTTGAGGTATTTGTACGGTAGCAGCACCGGCCAATGAAGGCGCCGGGAGGAGGGACGGTACCCCCGAGTGACGTCAGCCGGAACGCGGATTTCCCTAACGCACGTATATATGTGATACAACAATCATCTTAGTGAGTCCAGAAACTGTGCGCATGTTCATGAATCATAATATCCATAATAATGGTAGCCGTATTTGTACTTTGTGCACTTAGAAGAAAGAAGCCTATAACCAAGATTTGGATCGACATGCCCCTAATATTGTGGGAGTATCGCGCGCGTTCAGAGGGGCGGGGGGATAGGGGCTGACTCGGTTTCTGCCATCGCTGAATCCAAACGCTTGTCTTGTGTATGACAGACTTATTTTTCCTCTTGGAGTGCCCTTCCGAGATAATAATCTGTGGCCGCCACTGTGAGGTAAAATTTTGTCTATTTGAATCAGGAGCAGGCTAGGCCTACTCTTAACGAGGTAAAATTCAGCCAAAAATAAATTAAAAAATCACTACGCCAGCAATGATTGCTTACAGATAGAGGAACTGATTTACACACAATTTAGAAAAAAATTAAGTGTTAGTTTGCAATCTGTTGAGTCATTTTACTGCCTTTCATACTTTCCAGTGGTTATTCACTTCATTCTGCGCTGTCTGTTCCTCCGTTTAAATGATAGACTAATCAGACACAATAATGTTACTAAATTTACTGCGCTAACGCCCCCGCCACTTTTGCGCCATCTAAAGATGTGAAGTCAGTGTGAAATCTAGATGTTTTCCCTGAACTGAATCAAAAGCTGTCTAGATCACTTCGCAGGATCCAAATACCTATTGCTACTCCAAATAGCTAATTGCTGTCAGATGACTCATACCATTATCTTTAAGCTCCCGAGTTTAAACAGGCTCCTCCTACAGTGACCAGTAACTGGGCAAGAGGGTCTCTGAAAAGCTCCGTTAATATTGTGGCTGGGCCAGACAACCATTTTAAGAGCGACCGATAACGCTCCACTCTCTGTTGTCTGGAATTCTTTCCAGTTGCACTGCCTGTTTTTTCCTATTTATTGCATATTTATTGTTTCGTTTCATATACTGCGCTGTCTTTTGTCTTGCTTGTCTTGGCTTTTTTGCACTGCTGTTTGTCAGATTCTCCCCCATAGACCTGTCCTCTCCCCTTCAACTGTGGCATACGAATTTCACTGTGTTCTTCGGAACACATGTGACAAGAAAAACTTGAAACCTGCATATCCCTTTGACATCTTTTTTTGCAGACTGGAATGGATGACGGTGTTACAATCCGAAATCCTTTGATCGAGCGCTTCTCTGCACACCTAATGAATAAAGTATGCTTTGACGGGATACTAAGCGTGGAAAGGTTTATGTACACACAGCTACCACAGTTAATATAGTCTGGGCGGTTTCTTTGTGGTTTATTATTGTGATATGACTGTGCACGAAGCTGCACGTGTGGAGATGTATACTGTACTGCTTTCACTGTCTCATTCGTTCACTTTCAGCCAAAACTATGCTATCTGCATCAAGAGAAAATTGGATTTCTCCCCACTTACCATATAAGTGCGGTTACAATCACGTCCCTGGAATGAAATCTGAAACTGACAGATTAAAAAGAGAATCTGATGTAGCTGTCCACACTTGGTTCAAAACCATGTCTGAGAAGACACGACCTTCCTAGATTAATCATTTTTTATAACTTGAAGAAGAGAGAGATGAATGCTACTCCCGAGAATCTTTTTGATGTCATATCCACGCTCATGTCTGAGGTAGTCCATCTTTTGTATTTTTGTAGCGGATTGTGACAGACTGCCGACTTTTTCCACCAAGAAGCCCGTGCGCGGTGTCATGATAAAACATGCAATGCGCGGGAATGACATGCGTTTCCCACCTGCGCCACTAGAGGGCACGGGAGAGCCATGAACACACAATTCCAGTTTTACACGCATCTCAAAAGAGAGCTTGTCTAATTTATTTCTTTAAAAAACAATTACAGAAATAGCACGGCAATGCAATTAACCTATTTTTAAATACAATTTTATTAGGACAGTTTATTCCAGATAAAGAGAAGCCTAAAATAGGCTAATTAGAGTGCAGTCATTACAGAATCAAGCTAACCGCCTCACTCGAAGCAAGTGTATAGTTAAAGATTTTCATTGCTTAATGAAAGTTAATCAAATACAGAATTCAGGAGAAATAAGATGGGGAATGAGACGTTACACTAACAGACTAGGGACTGGTAGTAACAGAGACTCACATAATGTAGGTGTTTGTGTCTGTTCTTCAGTACAAATACAGACCATATGGGTACAATTAATTACAATTTGAATGGCAATACACAAATTTAGATAACGATTAAGGCATAATAAGCTTCAAATATATAATAAAACAATGGTCTTTTGACTATGATGTGCTCAAATAATGTCGTCTATACAATTCAAGAAACATTTAAAACATTTATCTTGAGAAATATTATTACGTGGAAAACACAACTGGCATCCATGAATGAATGAAACCCCAGTGTCTGGTCTCCTACATATTAAGGGATTAGTTTTAGAAGAAGTTTTCCCAATTTCATTTTGAGGGGTTTGTTGGGAAGGAACAATTATTTGATGTAATCTAAATTAATTGAAAAATTAAGGTTTTCCCACCCCCACAAATCTTCACAGTACTGCTGCTGGTAGATGCAGGAGAGGCTTAACTTATTTAATTCAAAGCAATGCACATAATTTCCAACCCCTGGCAAACTCCTGGAATCAGGTGATATTTTTGCTCGGCAACCCTTGACCTCAAGCTGTACTCTGCCCCCTGGTGGGTATCTGTAGTATTTAGGACACAGCCGTATGGACCCAGTGTCAGACGTTCAGGTGCACCACAAACCACTGGAGAGAGAAGAGTCCTGACTCGCAGGCACACATTGTACTTGCATGTAACAGAAATAATGTGCTGTAATTTAGATCCTGTGACTTTGTTGCCCTGTGCAGCTGTAGCATGTGGTGGAATTGACACCCTGAATGGGACGGTGTGTGTTTTTCACCCAGAGCGCATGGAGTCAAACGGCCTTTTAGGCGACACTGAAGGAGGCCGGATTGTTCTGACTCCGTAGGCCCCCACTCCCCCCACCAAGCGGCACTGGGCTGTTCCCCCGCTTGTTCTTTATGATGTTAATGGCCTCCCATAACTAATAATTCCCTGCAGATTTGGAGTGCGGTGATTTTACGGGCTCTGCGTAGGCGTGTCGTCTGAACGCTCCTCAGAGGCTCTGGAATTCCCGTCCTCACGTGTCTCGTGGCCACGGGAAAGGAACGAAAGAAAATAACATTAATTGAGAGAAGCCAAGGTACTCGCACATTTTGGCTCTGTGCTCCAGAGGTCCGAGAGTGGCCAAACAAACCTCAGATTTCCAGATTTTCTTTTGCCTTGCGGTCCAAACAATGGCTCAGATGAGCGCCAACCACGCCAGAAGGATTTTCAGTCGGGGTAAGAACAGAAGAACAAATAAACATTGAGGAAAAAAAGGCCAGAGCAGAAGCTGACGGACCATTTTGCTGCCTCTCGGAGCACATTACAGCAGCGCCATTCATGTGGGGGAATATGTGAGATTATGTCAAAGCTGCACATTCCTCGAATTGCTGGCCTCTTCTCCCCGCAGTTCGGCTCAGCAATGCCCTTCTCTGTTCTGTCCCTGCTTATTTCTTGTTCACTCTCTCGTTCTCCTTATTGCCTCCCCCCTCCCCCACCCGCCTCTCGGCCAGTCAGCCTGTCTGCTGTGGGTCACTGTACTCACTCTCTTCCACCAGTACAGGCACCGGGCGGCCACCCAGGGAGCCATCTTCTGAGGGGGCATCGACTTAGCAAGCCACTTTCTTTGGCAGGGGGGGCAGTGGTGAAGTGCGGCTGGTGATGGAACCTGCCCTCGAACCTGGGCGACAGAGCTGCAGCACTACCGCTGTGGTGAATAAAGTGGTGAAAGTGTGGCTCACTGAGTAGCCTCAATGGGGATACAGAGGCTGAACACCTGGCAGACTGTAAATGAAGGCCTTTTATTAACACCAAGTGACACTGTGAATCTCACACGCAGCTTTTCTTGAAAACTTTCAGTATTACTTATTGATCCTTCCGTGGCCATTAGCTGGTCATTCATCACTGCCGTTTTA